TAATATTAATAAAATAAATAATTTTAATAATGATAAAATATCATATATCTAGCTCATTAGAACAATTATTTTGACCAAACTATGTTTATTGTTAAATTTATTTTTAGTTTTTAATCTCTTAAAAATAAGCACTACACAAAATTGTGATTGTATTTGAAAATAATATTATATAAGTAAAATATAAGTTCTAGATAATTTTTTTGTAATTGAAAGACATTATAGTCAACTAAATATATGAAATAAATAAAAATTCAATAATACTATTTATAAACTATTTTATTACTCTAAAAGTATATTTTATGTTATTTAAAAATATTTTTAAATGTATTATTACTATTTTGTGAACTTTCTTTTTTATGAAATTATATTATATATACATATTTTTATGTTATTTAAAAATATTTTAAATGTATTATTACTATTTTGTCAACTTTCCTTTTTTATGAAATCATATTATATATACATATATTTTCGTTTTAATTTTGTTTTGTATGACTTTATAAAAAAATGATTTTTTATTACATATCTTTTTGGAAATTTTTGAAAAGAAAAAACTAAAAATAAAAGAATTAATAATACTATTTTCAACTCATTAAGGGTATCAATGTAATCAACCATCGTGAGAATGAACGTGAGAGCGACAGATAGGAAACTGACTTCTCAAATAATATTATAGAGATCGGATTTTATTATACAAATGTTTCGATTGTATAAGTTGGGCCGTGTGGACTTAAACCAATTTTGAATTTATCGGGGACTGATCGCTTTGTGCTTAAAAATTACAGTAATTTTTACAGAATTTCAAACAACAACAGAAAATGGAAAATAAATAAATATATATATATTTTTAAAGTAACTACAAATTCAGTTACGCTTTTCTTGATGGGCTAAGGATTTAAGACTTCAACTAAAAATCCTAGCCAACAATCGTAATGCATATATATTCCATAGTATCAAGGTTTCCTAATAACAACCCTAAAAGCCACAGCGCTATTAAGACAACAAAATATGCAAAAATTAACTTCGTAAATATTTACTGTATTGTTTCTAATTAATTAGTTCTCATATTAAGTTTTGCTTGATAAAGAAGTATATATATACAGATATTAGGCAGCTTAATAGATTCTGAAACATATATATATCAACTTGATATACCATCCATATACTACACATACCAAACACATAACTGTAATATAGTATTTACCATGAATGGTCTCAGTTATGCTGTTATGCAATCTAAGGCCTCGATTGGTAAGGCAGATGATAAAGCGTTAGCAGTATGCTGTAGAAGCTGTATGCTGAAGAAGCTGTATGCTTTCAGTAAAATTTTTAATTAAGTGATTGGAAGAGCAGTAGCAGTATATAATTTTAAAAATTATTATAATAGTTAATATAAATAAATATTTATATTAAAATATATTTATAATATATATTAATAATATATTTGTTATTATAAATAATGAATCTTATTCATTATATAAATTATATTAAAGTTTATATGTAAAATATAATTATCTAAAAATGTAATTTTTAAAAAATATTAAATTATTTTTGGAGATAAAAATATTTACTTTTATTAAATAAATAAATAAATTATATATAAATTATTATTATTTACTGATAGAGCAGTAAATGATTCATATATAAAATATTCATAAAAATTAATATATGTTATATAATTTATTTATTAATGTATAATATATACATATATATATATATGTGTGTTTATCTTTATAATATATAAATATATATTATGTTATGCTTGTTATTAAAAATAATGAACGATATGTGTAATTATATAAATTATATTATATTTAAATGTGAAATATTGTTCTTTTAAATAATTTAAAAATATTTAATTATAATTTTATTTTAATTTTTAACATATAAAATTATTTTTGATTATAAAAGTATTTTTTGTATTATTAAACTACAATAAATTAATTATGTATAATTATTTTTAAAATTTTATATATTGTAAATGCAAATGCTCTATCAAAAGCTCTATTGGAGAGCATTGAGCAAATAGCATTTGGAGAGCATTAGCATTTGGTAAATGCTTTTCCAAATGCTTCTTTGACAAATGTTGATTGGATAATAGAGAGCATAATGGTTATGCTAATGCTATACCAATCAAGCCCTTAACCTACGACTTCAAATTTCCGTGCAACATGCCATTTGGATGAACAATAAAGATTATAATATTTACATGCAATTGTGAAATTAGTTCCATTAATTGGTAACCAATATCACGAAATTCATATAACCATACCCTCTTTACATGCAAATGTGAAATTAGTTCCATTAATTGGTAACCAATATCACCACCATTCTCGTCTCTCTCTTCAAGAGATGGTGGAGAACCTGTTGCAATACGACGGCGCAGATTATACATTTTCCCTAAACCTAACACTTTCTGTGTCTATGTTAATTTTTTTTTAAATATATAATCAGTTTAACAACGTGTTTCTCTCAGATCAAAGAGTTTGGATAACTTTGTGGTTAGTTTGCTAACTTGGTGGTTAGTGATATAACGTTACGGGATTCTAATTTGTATGTGATTATTCTATTGTCCTTCTTTTTATCTACTGATACAAGTTATCATTTAAATTTAAACATTTTCTAGAGTATAACAAATAATACAAGACATATATAGTTCACTGAACTGGATTACTTAAATTAAACCGGCGTTTTTTTATGGGATAAAATTTTAGACTTACTTTTGGTTTTATGATAAATTATATGATTTGATTTTTTGGGCTTAGCATTAAGGAAAAACTCCAAAAAACACTGAATAAACTTTCCACCTTAATGAATCAAAAAAATAATTACTATTTTCATGCCTGAAGGTAATTAATATTTTTAACAAAACAAAATTTTCTATTATTAATCACTTATTTAATCATATACTTTAAAACATGTTAATCTATTTTTTATTTTAAATAAAAATCACTTTGTTTTGATAAATTTTAATGGTAACTTTTAAATAGTTTATTAGTTTATTTTTCTTAAATAATTTACTGATTTAAAAAAAATAATTGTAAAGCAAATCCAAAAACCATATCTAAAAACTAAAATCTAAAAACCAAAAGCTGAAAACGTAGGTTATATTTTTGCTTTTGTTTATTTACAAAATAAACTATTGCAATTTTTTTTTAAAAAAAAAAATTGTCATCTTTTCAGTTTTATATTAGATGTTCGATTATTTGAGATTTGTTTGTTGGTAATATCAGTTCAAACTAACTTAGCAGTTCTAAAAACTAAAAACCCAAACCAAAAGCTGAAAATCAAAAATAGAACTAAAAGTTTAATATCATCATATGTTCACTGTACTAAATGATTATTAAATTTTTAAACTTATGAAACAATCATATCAAACTAAGAACACATACATTTAACAATGTTATCAGATGATTAGTATGCCTTGTCTTTGCTATGTGATGTTACAACTGATTCTCATCTTCTTTCTCCTTCACCATATCTCTGCCTGAGCTTTTCAGCTTGATATCATTTTGTTCCATGTCCTTATGTTTCTACATAAACATTTGTTGGTCTATATTACTAATACATCAAGTCAGGACAACAATATTTACAAATTAGGCATTTTAACAGAACTGAGACAATCAAGTCAATCAGACATTTCTAATTCCCATTGATCTTTATATTTATTCAGAACTAAAATAATGTGTATTTTGTTAACTCATTTCATCCTACTGTCGATGTAGAGATTTTGATTTATGATTCATCTTAGTTATACCATCCACACTATTATATCAAACACATTACTATAGATTAGAATTACCTTTGGAAAGAATAAAGATCTGACATAGAGACGAAATCCTGGAAATTATTACTTGCAACCAGTGAACAAGGCAAGCTTTACTGATTCTTTACCAATCTTCATGACTGAACCGGGGAAGGACTATGTCTATCTGATAGAAAGATCTTCGTATGACTCTTCAAATGATGTTTAAAAAATCAGAACACATATTATATATTGAAACAACTAATCGTAAAAAATAAAGTTCAACATAAATCTACAAACTCGAACCAGTATGCCAAATCTGCGGTAGTAATCAATATATCTTTCTTCTGTCATTCTTTCACTGAAAAATTCATCTGCTGTTTAGGAAGATACCACCAGAAAACAGACGACACCGACATAGAGATCTGAAGGAGAAGTAGAACTTTCTACAGGAACGAAAGGTTCCATCTAATTAGACCCTAAACAAAATGAACAACATAAACTGACATCAGAACTCAAAAACCTATGAAACATAAATATGAATATATTTTTACAACTAACACAAACATATAATTCTACAGAACATACATCCATCCAGACGCGCAGATCAATAAACTAGTAATAGGTTTTTGCATAAAACGAATATATTATATATAAATTTTGATTTTTCACTGTTATATAAATCGTGTATAAATTGAAGATATTGTTATATATTTGAGGTAGGTTATGATTGTTTTTCCTCAGTTCAGCTTATATTTGAAGGAGTAGACGTCTCAAGGATATGACCGGTTCAAAAGTAATGAATCCTAGAAGAAACAGAAAAAAATTAGAGATTTTTCCTTGATTTTGTAAACTGTTAAAAGGATCGTTAGTAGTCAATAGTCAAACTAAAAGTTTAAATTTCACCTCTGGGCCTAGATCCATTAATCAAAAGCCCATTACATTGACCGTTAAGTCAGTTAAAGAGGCCTTCGTTAATTCTCTTATCTTCAAGATATTAAGGGAGAATCCACTGCCACTGATCAACATTTCGCCATTTGTTCTCTTTTTCCTCTGAATCAACTCGCTCTCGCCTGACTCACCGAGTCATGGCGCTTCTTAGACCTCACCTTCATCGCTTCAACTCCAACGCTCTCCACCAATCATCCCCTCAAACTGGAGGTGGACTCCTCGTCTACCCCACTTACGGCCGTCGTCGCCACCACCGCTGCTCCGCGATTGCGATCGACGCGCCGTCGTCTCTCGCCGGCGTGACGCCTATTCGATGGGGGTACACGAGCGTTCAAGGGTTTAGGGAGGAGATGGAGGACGATATCGTTATCCGTTCGGAGGGTCTAGATAGCTTCTCCTTTGCTGCTGTTTTGGACGGCCACGCTGGATCGTCTTCTGTTAAATTCCTTAGGTTAACTTTGTGTGTGAATCTCTCTTTCTCGCATGCAAAGATCAGTTTTTGAAGTTTGATTGGTTTTGGAATAGGGAAGAGCTGTACAAGGGGTGTGTTGAGGCGTTGCAAGGTGGATCTTTGTTGGAAGGAGGTGATTACGTGGGGATCAAGGAAGCTTTGATTAAGGCTTTTGAGAGTGTGGATCAGAGTTTGCTTAAATGGTGAGACTTTTTTAATGGGTTTGGATGAATTTTGATTTGGGTGGAATAAAGTTGAATACTTTTTTTTATGTATATGTTTTGGTGAATGCGTTTTTGAGAGTGTGGATCAGAGTTTGTTCAAATGGTGAAACTTTCTTTAAGGGTTTGGATGAATTTTGATTTGGGTTTAGTAAAGTCGAATACTTTTTTTTATGTTGGGATACAAGTCCCACATCGGAAGTTTAGACAGAAAGTGTCTAATATATAAGTAGTGTCCAACTCTGATTAGTATGAGGTCTTTTGGGAAGGAACCCAAAAACAAATCTGTGCGGGCTTTGTCTCTTGGGCCCAAAGCGGACAATATCATACTATGGACAGAGTTGGACATGGGCTTCAGAAAAGCGCCACATTTTATGTATATGTTTTGGTGAATGCCTTTTTAAAAGCGTTGATCAGAGTTTGCTTTCTTTAAGGGTTTGGATGAATTTTGATTTGGGTTTAGTAAAGTCGAATCCTTTTTATATGCTTTGTTCAAATGGTGGAAATTAGTCTACTTTCTTTTTAGGGTTTGAGTGAAATTTTGATTTGGGTGTAGTAAAGTGGATTACTTTTTATGCATATGTTTTGGTGAATGTCTTTTTGAAAGCGTTGATCAGAGTTTGCTTAAATGGTTAAACTTTCTTTAAGGGTTTGGATGAATTTTGATTTGGGTTTAGTAAANGAAATTAGTCTACTTTCTTTTTAGGGTTTGAGTGAAATTTTGATTTGGGTGTAGTAAAGTGGATTACTTTTTATGCATATGTTTTGGTGAATGTCTTTTTGAAAGCGTTGATCAGAGTTTGCTTAAATGGTTAAACTTTCTTTAAGGGTTTGGATGAATTTTGATTTGGGTTTAGTAAAGTCGAATACTTTCTTTTATGTATATGTTTTGGTGAATGCGTTTTTGAGAGCTTGGATCAGAGTTTGCTTAAATGGTTAAACTTTTTAAGGGTTTGGATGAATTTTGATTTGGGTGTAGTAAAGTATACTTTTTTATGTATAGGGTTTGTTCAGATGGTGGAAATTAGTTTACTTTCTTTTTAGGGTTTGACTGAAATTTTGATTTGGGTGTATTAAAGTGGAATATCTTTTTATGTATATGTTTTGGTGAATGCCTTTTTGAAAGTGTGGATCAGAGTTTGCTTAAATGGTGAAACTTTCTTTCAGGGTTTTAATGAATTTTGATTTGGGTGTAGTAAAGTCGAATGCGTTATTTATGTATATGCTTTGGTGAATGCCTTTTTGAAAGCGTGGATCAGAGTTTGTTGAAATGGTGGAAATTGGTTTACTTTATTTTCAGGGTTTGAGTGAAATATTGATTTTTGGGTTAAGTAAAGTTACATACTTTTTTTTTTTATCTTATATGGTTTGGATTCAGGCTGGAGACAAAAGGTGAAGAAGATGAGTCTGGTTCAACGGCTACTGTGATGCTCATTAGAAATGATGTTTCCTACTTTGCACATATTGGTGATTCTTGTGCAGTAAGTCTTGTTGATTAAGAAGTTGTGGATATTTGATCAATGAATATCATGTGTGACTCTGTTGATGTATTGGACTAGGTTTTATCTCGATCGGGACAAATCGAGGAGTTGACTGATTCTCATCGTCCGTATGGAAGCAATAAGGCAGCTGTTCAGGAAATGAAAAGAATCAAACATGCAGGTGGATGGGTGTGTCTTCCTCAATCTTTTTCCTTGTTTCAAAATTTCTCAAAATGTCACTTACTGTGTGTAACTCCGGATTTGGCTAAGAACCCAATTCTTTGCTTAGATTGTCAATGGAAGGATTTGCGGAGACATAGCTGTATCTCGTGCTTTTGGTGACATCCGGTTCAAGACAAAGAAGCATGAGTTAGGATCTGTCTCTTTCCTTACAATTGTTTTTTTTTTTTAACTGCTCCCTCATTGCTCACTATATAGTTCATGAACACAGGATGTTAAAGAAAGGTGTCGATGAAGGAAGATGGACCGAGAAGTTTGTATCCAGGTACTGAAAATATTCGAACACGTTGCTTCTAGTTTTTTTTTGTCAAATCTCTTAAAGGATAGATGTCATGATTTGATGGAATGTTGCAGAATCGAGTTTAAAGGGGACATGGTTGTCGCAACTCCAGATATATACCAAGTACCTCTTACATCAGATGTGGAGTTCATTATTTTAGCTTCTGATGGATTATGGGACTACATGAAGAGGTTTCCTTCATCTTTTTTTTCACTTCCTTCCCCATGCTATCATACGCTTTTATCAGGAAGAAGTTGACAATGATGAAATGTTTTGCTGATGCAGCAAAGAAGTGGTTAGTTTCGTAAGGGAACAGCTCCGAGAACATGGAAATGTCCAGGCAAGCTTTTCAAGTCAAATTAGTTTCCACAACACATAGATATGGTTTTGAGTCTCAGCTAGTCTTTTTTTATCTTCCTTTGTAACAGCTTGCTTGTGAAGCTCTTGCGCAAGTTGCTTTGGTAAAAATAACATAAACCCTTCCTCTCAAGCTTTCTTTATTCAGGATCCAGAAACTGACTTCTCTTTCATAATTTCAGGACCGGAGATCAGAGGACAACATCAGCATCATCATAGCTGATCTAGGGTATGTCTTAAGGTCTTCTATTTCGCAACTTGTTTAAGCATCCAATTCTTAGACTCTTGACCTGTCTTGTTGTTCTCTGAAAACAGAAGAACAGAGTGGAAGAAACTCCCGGTGCAGCGACAAAACATGGTGGTTGAACTGGTTCAGGCGGCAGCTACTGTGGGTATAGTTACTGTTGGCATATGGATGACTTCTCTTCTCTCTTGAGTAAAATGAAACATCCAGTCTCCTTCCTTAGTGTATATAAAACATGTAACTATGTCAAACTCTCTATTAGCCTTCCCATAGAGATGGAGATGTGATGATACCTCACAGTTGGGGAACTCACCAAAGTACATGTAAACTCTCTATAGTATATGCTTAGTGTAAAGAAAAAAATATTCACTCCAACGTAAAAAGCATTATAAGTTTAAAACCACTCCAACAAAATTACTCATTTGCTGAGAGAATCAACTAATGACAAGAAAAAAAAAAACTCTTTATACAGCAAAAGATTGTTGCATCATAAGAAAAAGAAAGAGACTGAAACATCCAAGTGGTTTACTGTTATGGTAAAGATGAGAGCTGGAATAAAAGAAGAAAAAAAAAAGCTTCTTACTAGGGTAACTTCATCATATACATTGTGGAATTAGAGAAGAGGCACAGGTTAGTGGTTTTGCAGTCAGTCCAATGGTGTGTGATCTTCACTGTCTGCAGTTTACAGGAGAAATTAGAAAGCAAGTTCCAACATCATGAGAATGTACACAAGCAGAGGACTAACCTCTTGCATTTACTGGAATGCCACTTTCAATGCTTTTAAGCAGATTCTCTACTTCACCTTCTCTAGCAAACGCATGGATGGCATCAATCTTCCTGAGAGACAAAAACACAAGAGAAACGCAAAGATGAATAAGAAGAGGATTAAGTGTTACATTCAGACAGGAAAATGATATATAGCTCCAAGTTCTTCCACTACCTTTCGTTAATAATTAATAGTAGCAAGTTCACTAACAAAAGTTATTGCAGCAAGCAGGAGATACTAAGTAAAACATATTCACTGAAATTTAGTAAATCTTTGATATAACAGATGTGAGTTATTACGATCTGATGAAGACACTCACAGCAATCAAAGTAGAGAAAGTAGAAAGACATGAGAAAACAAGAGAAGAACCTTACAACTCATTTTTGGATTCCTCTTCATAAGCCATGGTTCCTCCTGAGTTGGAGACTTCAACATCCCCACTTCCAGCTTTCTGGTACACCACAACAAAACAAGCAGACAAGATCACACAAACAGTCCAGAGGGAAAAAAAAAACAGAATGAAGATAAAGAAGAGGAGGAAAAAGGTTTCTACCACGCCACCGTCTAACCAAGTTGGATAAAGCTGAGTGACAATCCCAATATACTTCTCCATCGCTTCCTCAGAGGGCATAGCACCCAGTTTCTTCCATGCTTGCCTGAAAGACAAGAAAGATCAATGGAAACTCCCAATCAATGAAATTTCAGTCTTCCAACAAATGCCATGACCATATAACATCACATCATCTCCAACCATGACTAGTCCAAGCCAAATCCAAATGAAACATTGACCTCTGGCCCCCAAATTTTCATAATCATAAACCCTAAAATTTGTAAAAGAAAAAATATATATTATTACAGGTGGCTGTACTCACAGCTGTAAGCCCTTTACCACTTGTATTGAAATCTTTACTAAATCGCTTACGACCCCTCAAAATCTAAGTGATAACACCAAGTAAAGCATCAAACTTCAACCTCAAAACAAGCAAAGAAAGCTAATGACATATCAAAAGAGAGAGCAAGAGGGAGACCACTTGGCACGAGCAGTAAGTCTAAGAGCAGTAGGCTTCGGAGCAGTACAAGGCCCTTCCGTAGCGATCTTATACAGTCCATAAAGCTTCTGCTGAACATCACTAGGGACCTTTCGGTTAGTTACAAAGAGAGTAGCGGCACTGAAAGCCTCGTCGAGTTCCGTGCTCTCCACGCCTTCCCAATCATCATCTTCTTCCTCACCAGAGCTACTCTGCTCCGCCACTAGCGTATCCCCCACACCACCGATGGTGGAAGACACGACTCTGCTCGAGTCAACCACCGGTTTAGTCTCCTGTTCGGGGTCGTGGTGGTGAGTAAGGAAGAGATTGTCTTCTTTAATCGTGACGACCATGGAGATGAGTTTAGCTAAAAGGTAAGAAACAATTAAACCTAAAATCACAGACTGAGTAAGCTGAGCCAAATCACCCATTTTTTTCTCAAGAAACCTAGCTCTGAATTTTTTTTTTTAAAAACCCTAAGGAATAAAAACAGAGTCACGAAGAAGAAGGAACCCTAAGACATATAAATGTAACAAACTTTGATTCTTTAAACCAACAAACAAACCGACTTTTTTTTCAAATTTTATTAAAGACGATAGAATAAAAAAAAAAACTTGACGATTAACGACGACAGATCACAGAAGCGTCTAAATTGGGGAAGAAGAGTACGTGTTATGCCCTAATGTTGTATTGATGTCAAAACTGTATATACATTTTTAGAAAAATAATCGAGAAGACGTGCATGGGTGATATAAAGGAAAAGGTTGAATCATACGACACGTAAAAATGAAATGTAAATGTATCCATAAGCATACAAAAAGGTAGAACATAAACTTGAAAGGCAGTAGATGAAATCAAAGTTTCCTTTTTCTATGTTTATAAACAAAACAAAAACTCAATACACACCTTATTAAATCGGTTCCACTCACTAACATTGCTTGCTTAAATGAGCATCTCATGAAGAGAGAAAAAAATCCACTCATAATTTAGATGTGAGTGTGAATAACTTTCATGGAATACCCATTTAAGCAAGAAACATTAGAAAGAGGAAACTGAGTTTTTCTTTTATCACTTTTGTTGTCCATGAGAGTCAAGAGAGATGATGCTACAAATATATATATGCGCAACGTGACTTGCACAAACTAGGGCCACATTTACGAAAATACCCTCCACTCAAAACAGGATACTACTACCCACCAGGTCAGGCCAACTGAACAATCTTTAACTCAGTTCCGACACATTTGAAGAAGACCCTAGAATGGCAGCTCAAGGATGCCTGTTTTAACCAACAATCAAACATTCTCACACCCATCACACAAACCACATGCCTAGGGGATTGTGTCTGTCGTGTCGTCCCCAGTGTACAGTACATTTAAAAAAATTCAGCAACCAAAAAAATTACTTCTCAGTACTTACTTACCCTTTTGATCTGTAGGGGGACATTCAACATGTGGATTTTTTCTTGTTTTTTTTTGGGACGACTATTCGTGCTGAGATCCATATCGGCATTGGACATTTTCCCCTTCTATGCAGCTTCTCAACTGCATCAAGAGGAAGACCCACACCAGCTCTAATGTCTTTTTCCACACTCTATGTGCAGTTTCTGTGTTGTGTGCTTCTTCGGAAGGATTTGTAGTCGGCAATCTTGAGATATGAATGGGCAAACGGGCCAATCATCGTTCTTTAGTGTTTCCCAGTACTCTGGAATCTGAGGGTCTGTGGCTGAGAAGAGAGGACTTGTACAACCTTCTTGTGGTGAAAATATGAAATAAGGTATCAGGGCGTAAAGAAACTAAAGAATCCTGGGCAGATCTCTGGCCTATTATTACGGTATGCTTACCTGGGCTAGCTTGCTGCTCGAGTATCCTACAACGCTTGAGTACTTACGGCTAAAAGAAACAACATTCATGTCATCCGGGTCAACAAAACCGACACTATGCATCTACAAAGGCGAATTCGACAACCCATTTTCTTGCATGAAAATGTATTCACCAACGATATAAGCCATGTTCGTTACATGAACGCTACTAGCAGCGTCAGCGGCAAAGATAATACAGTACGACGGAGGTAAATTAACCGGTACGGAAAATTAAAGTGGGACGCTAGCAGTCATTTTTATGCGTTCCTTTTACTCCCAATTGAACGCAGCGTCAATGCAGTTGGACGCTTAAATTTTATGCGTTCCTTTACTCTCCATTGATTGCCGCAGAGTCAGGAAAAATAGGTTGACATTAGTTTCACGAACGGTGTGTTTGCCGTAGTGATAGGTTTAATTTGTAGCCGCTGACGCTGATTTCAGCGTTGATGAAAAGAACACGGCTATAGTTTCAGTTTTCATACAATCAGCCACGCCACAGGGTTTCACTGAAATAAACAATGATGAATGCAAGGAGTAGAAATATGGTCACTGCGGTATATTTCGTTTCTTTATACCAACACAATGTTCATATAAATAACATGCATATGTATTTCAGCGATTTAGAGAGAACCTATACTATTCCTCTGTATATTCTGCAACCAATTGACACGACCAGAGCTTTTCAAGTTACAAAATATACAAACAAATTACACTTTTTCAACATCGTTACCCTACGATCATAGAAAACTAGAGGACACAGACTTAGAGCCTGTAGAGTCAGTGATCACAGAACTTACCACGGAATTTACATTGGTGATTCGGCTTGGAGAATCTCGGATCAGAGAAGGCAAAAGGAGTACTGAAAGCAGCGATGGAGCTAAATGACTCACTTGCATGATCTGCTCATATCCATCCTCTGAGAATTTTTGCGCCTCTATGCAAATTCGAGAGCTTAGCATTTTAGTTGACTCATTTACTCAACATTTACAGCATAAAACGTAGCTACAACAATTCAAGAAATAAAACCATCGTACAGAGTTCCATAAACTGGCAATAATAGTAGTCTTGCTACAAATTACCTTCCTAAATATAATTCATGAGAGACTACGTTTGAAAACAATGCTATACAAGCCAGTTTCTACTAACTAGGTCCATCAAATTAGAATATCGATGATGATGATGATGAATAGTGCACTAGTGATGGTGAAAACCCAAGAAGGAAACAAAAGTAAGTGAAAGACCTCAATGTTTTGTAGCTAAAAGGGTAAGAAACCTAACCTCCCATAGCAAATATGCCAGCATTGTTAATCAGAACATGCAAAGGTCCTAACCGAGCGTTCCAAGCATCAGCGAATCTCACAACCGAATCCAGTGAAAGAAGATCAAGTTCCATTGCCTTTACCCAAAAAAAGAAAAACACACAGAGTATCTTAATCAGCTACGTTCATACAAAAAACAATACTCTTGCCTAATAACTAATACACAAGAAAAATTGACTCAGTCACTCACAGCCTACTAGACCTCATATAGATGGAAGTTTCTATAACACAAAACGATTTACATAAGCACATGAAATACAATTCTTGACTATGTCACAAACTATATTGTATATCAATCATTATAAGAAGATAGAATCCATATAGGAGATGATAAATAAGAGTGTTACCTCGATAGTAAGAGGGAGACCTTTACCAGACCACTCGTTCCGCCACTGCTGAATCAGCTCCTGAGCTGCCTTTATGTTCCTAACCGCCATCACAACATGAGCACCACCCTCTGCCAGCTGTCTACGTAACAAAAATAAGCAAAAGGAATCATCAGCAAAATCCCTAATCTACACAGAATCAAACTCGTTAATTTGATTAACAACCTAGATTTTGACGGAAATACACTTAACAATGATAATATAGTAACATAGGAAAAATAAAGAGTAAGAAGTAAGAGCACCATTATCCAGGTGGTTAGTGGGTTGTTTAGGAGATGGGGTACACAAAAAACGGACGTTTCTGACGGCTAAACAAGCACCATGTTTTGTTTGTTGTTTGTAGTGTTTGCGGCTCCACCGACACATGGTATTCCGCAATTCATTTTTTTAATTTTTTTAATCGAACCAAAAAATTAAAAAATAAATAAACATCTTCAAATGGGTGCTAGGATAATCATGCTCTAACATTGATAATAATCTGCTGATTCTGAGGGGAACCGAAGCTTACCAAAAGATCGAAGTTGCCCTAACGGATAGATAACAATAGAAAAATCACGCTTGTCTTCATCAACCTTCATGCAGTCTTCATTGCTCTATTCATAACACAACTCTCATCATAATCATCACCAAAATGATAATGATAACTAATGAAGATCATCCACACAACACACACATAAACACAGTTCATAATCATTAATCTTCAAGAGATTTCTTTTGCCTAATGATAATGATAACTAAGCAAAAATGGTCATGTTGTAGCCAATGAGCCAAAACTGCATTTGAAGTTGGACCAATATGAGACGAAGCCTACTTTAGCTTCTCAGCTTTGTCGTCTTTCTCCAACGTCTCCTCAAACAAAAGATAAGAACAATGAGAAGATTTGACTATACGGCAAAACCGCAAAGATTCTACGCGAGGTGTCAAAATCATTCTCTGCCTTAGATGTTGACTGCAGCACCTAATGACGCCATCTGTGAGGTGTTCTAGGGTTAAAGACTTTGTATGTATAATGGACTGAAATAGCTAAGTAAAAATGCAGTAAAATTTCACATTTATCGTCTTCATCCTGAACAAAAGAAAATGATGAGACGATATAAAGATATTAATAAGATCAAATTGTTTAACATAGTACATATATAGTGCATATGTGTTGGGGTCAAAATCGGTACGACGGAATTAATAGCCAAAACTTTCCGCAAGAATACAAAAAGAACAGTTTTATAAAGCTCGAGAATCGTTTTATAAAACTGGAAAAATCGTTCTATAAAGCTCGAGAAATCATTTTATAAAACTCGAGAATCGTTTTATAAAACTCGAGAATCGTTTTATAAAACTCAAGAATCGTTTTATAAGACTCGAGAAATCGCTTTATAAAACTCGAGAAATCGCTTTATAAAACTCGAGAT